TACCTACCTACCTACCTACCTACCTACCTACCTACCTACCTACCTACTACCACCTACTACGACCTACTACGACCTACTACTACCTACTACTACCTACTACTACCTACTACTACCTACTACTAACTACTACCTACTACTGCCTACTACTGCCTACTACTGCCTACTACTACCTACTACTACCACCTACTACCTACTACCTACTACCTACTACCGACGCCGACTACAACTACGATGGCTCCCTGAGCCGATAATTCAGGGGGAGTGGACCTCATGAGTGGTATCTCATATACCTTCTTGACCTTGTTGACCTTCTATTGGGGGGGGGGCAGATTAATCCGGGGTTGACATTACCCTGTTTGTTGGTGTGGTATGTGGTATCATGTCCTACATAGCTTTAAGCTTCGGGTACTTCGAAGGGTTTCAGCCACTTCTTCTTCGCCCATGTTCGGTACCAGGTCCGTAGCGGTCCTGGTACCGAGCGCTGCAGGTTCTTTTGGGGCTTTCTGCTGCGCGTGGTTTGGCCGACCATGCGACGGGACGTGGAAGGCATGGAGAAGATTGTGAAGGACTTCTCGATTTGGCCAGTTGGGTGTTTCTTTGGGAGACGATAGAGCCTCCCTAACGCTCCCAAAGACCACGCAAAACCCATTGGTTGGCGGTCTCCCTGTTAAAACACACACCCAGTCAATGTCGATTTTAGTTGAATCCTGCGAGGAGTAGAACCTCCATTATGGAGACGGAGAAGCATTCCGGTATGAGGAGTTTTACAATGGTTTTACTGATCATCTGCAATGATGTATTTGATAGCTTGCCATTCCCATCATTTTCATGGATCACCCAAAACTCTGGATGAGGCATTCCGGCGGCATTCCCTACAACTTTTGAGGCCCACCAAACCGGAAGAACCTGCCATCATGGGCCTTTCATGGGCCATCATCAGCTGGTCTAAGTGATCATGAAGCCCTACAAGTCCGATCCAGTAAGACTCACTTGATCATGTCCTATATCAGAGTTGCAGCTCTTTTTTCAGCTCTTTTCTCTTGGTCGCCGCTACTGCGGAGTGCGCGGAGGGAGTGGCCGTAGGAGAGTGGCCTCGAGTATTTGATCGTCCGACCCATGGGCCTCTGGGATATAAAGGAGCGACGCCGTGCGTTCGCCACCGAGACCGAGACCTGCCTTGGAAGGTGGAAACCAGGTGTTTTTCCGGAAGAAGGTATAGGCAGGTGTTTGGGGCTTTGAAACCATGTGGAGAAACAATGCCACTTTTTTTGAAGCACCCCTGAAACATGTTGAAACTCTGAAAGAAACGGAGGAAACATCAGATACTGGGTGAAACACTCATGTGACCAGAAACTGGTTCAGGTGGCAAGGATGTAGAATTTCTTGGTGTTTCCGTATTTCCAAAGAAAGCCACTGTGAGGTCAGACCGGTGACGTCAGACGACGCACATCCCCAAACTGGAAGGAACGCGAATTGGTTTCACATCCCGAAGGAACTCCCAAACCGTGCATCACCTGGCCGTTTGGGCTCCGTCGACGTCGAGGCGCGCCGTCGGTCTCCGTGCCGCTTCGCTCCGTTCACGGCGGTCGCCGACGGACACCGAAGACCGTGCCTCGCGTGGCATCGAGGCGTTGATCCGAAGGAGCTGCCGGTGGGGTCCTATGCCATTCTCACCGCCCGAGGCCGCCGCGGCCGCGTGTGGGCGGAACGTTCGCCGCCGGCTCTCGGACCGTTGAAGGCCGAGAGCGACGCACGGAAACACCAATGTGGGTGACCCATGTGGATGACGACAATGCGAGATCGGGTCATGGACTGACCCATGCCATACGCCATGGAACCGGAAACAGTTACATGTTAACAAGCCAAACAACTCCATGTCACCAGCCATGGTGGCGTAACCTCTTCCAGTCCCATGAATCGTGTTTTCTTTACCCCATTAAAAATGATGTATGACTGTATGACCCTGTAACTAGTTTATTCCATATACATGGAGGGTTTGTGCCCTGCAGCAGACCTTTTCGAACGCCGCTTTTCGAAGTGTTCCTGCCCAGTGCGGATTGGGGACGGGCAGTTTGGGCGTCACGTGGCTTCACATGAAGAATCAAAAGTGGGTGTCCAGTGAAAGGATTGGCCCAAGAACCAGGTGGACCATGTGGGTCATGTGTTTACGCCACCAACTTGAGCACCGCAGCAGACACAAAGAGAAGACATGTTTCCATATCCTGGGTTTTCAGTCCTCAACATGGTTCCTTCCCAACAGAACATAAAAGAACCTCTAATCAATTGGGTGTTCCATGTTTTCTGACCAGATCCAAACCATGATTCTTTTGACGTTTGTTTCTCAAAGAGTACGCTTTCCCAGGCCAGGGCAGCCTGCCGCTGACCGTAGCCTGGGTGAGTTTAGACACATGGACAGCCAAAAAGATCTTGGCGGACGGTGGGGCGACGGACCTTCATCTCATTTTGGGTGGCTTCAAGATGTTGGGTCAATTGCCGCAGGAAGCAGATGCATACAGATGCTCACCCAACATATCATCCACCCATCTATCGAACATGTTTTGTTTGTCTAACATGGTATAAGATGTTTGTCTAACATGGGCCGTATAAGACTGAGACCGCACGTCGCGCTAGGTTTCTTTTGTTTAAGCTGTTTGAAGGTTCAACTGATCAGTCCCATGGCATGGATTCTGGGGAGTTCTGGGCGTCCTCACCGTCGCAGTCACGCAGCCATCTGGGTGGTCGTTTCAGATGTGGTTTGGGTCAACCTTTACTTGGGATGATTTTCTCCCACTAACTACTTTTCAAGTGAGTTGAAATCACTAACCAGCCATCCATTTACTTCTCTGATACGACGATGTCGCCGTGTTCTCCAGATCCGGGTCTCCCCACAGGCTACGACAACTGGGATCGGCTCTGAGAAGCTCTCCGCGGTGGTTTTTTGAGACAACCCCGCGTACCCGACTTCAACCGCGTACCCGGACGAAAATAGGACAGGGACCCGAACAAATGAATCAACGATAAACACGTGGTATATATACCCATGTTCTGAGGTACGAATTCACAGGTCGACTCGAGGTGTAAATAGATCCATTGCAAGCCTGAGGGTGAAGCTGACCACGCTCCTGTCAAGGTGGCCAAAGATGATGTTGGTTTGTTCTTGTTGGAGGAGGCCGTGGCGCCCAAGCACACCAAGACGGGCGTGACCATCGGAGTCTCGGTCAAGCACGGAGATCCCAGCAACCGATGTGTGAGCGTTCCCAACAAACCGCTGGTTAGCACAGAAGCACAGGAGCACAGGAGTGTTGGTAGACTCAGGAGGTATCGAATTCGAGTACCCATCATTTGTAGCTTGTAGCTTGTGGGACATTGAGATCAGTCTCAAAGTGATTTGTTTTCGTCAAAAAAGACCAAGGAGGGTTACATCCCGATGAATGAAGCAGCATCCATGGACGTTGCGGTATCATGTGGCATCATGTCTTGTCATGTTTTGTGACCCGAAAGAGCCAAAAGCAGTATGCCGTGCTCTCGAAAAGCAGCATGACTGCCCAAATACCCACGAAAAGCAGCATAGCATGTTCCCAAGCTGCTAAAAAGCACTCACCAGAAAGCAGCTGATGTCAGATGTCTGAGGAAAGGATAAGACGGCCACCGTGGTCTGACGGTTCACGGCCCACGAGCAGAGGTGTTGGCAGCGGCGCTGTTTTCGGTCCAGAGTCGTTGGAGAAGCAACCTCTCACCAGCCGACCCATGTTAAGATGCACTAGAACCAGTCTGGCAGGTTGGAGGGGTGCTTTGTTTTGGTTCAATTATAAAGGGACAGCCTGGTCAATCCAATGTTTATGGTCGCTTGTTCTGATTTTGAGGTATTTTACCTACAGATCATGATCTTACCATGCTGCACTACACCATCGCTCAGATGACTCCCCTCTCAAAACAAATCCGATGCTGAATACGAGCGTACCCAGTGTTCGGTGATTTGATGTGTGTGTATGTGTGTTTTTAATAGGGGACCCCCAACCAATGGGTAGACTGGTCTATTTCCCTTCTTCCAGAGAGGTCGACCTTGGGGGATCCCCAATTCTCACACATGGTGTGTCGGCCGGGTGATTTTCTACATTTCTTCAAGGCAGTAGACATGTCGAATGGAGGAGGTTGGTGATCCCTATCTGAACAGAAGACGACACATAAAGATTGGTTTGAGTTCAACTGGAATACATGTTGAAGTCGAGCAAATATATTGGATCTATTTGAGACCATAATATAAATATATACAGTATAATATATATATGGACCATTGTTTTGATAGGAAAAAACATGGTTTGAATCCAAAACAGGGGTCGATTAGGTTCTAGGTATATATTATATGTTCTTCAAACAATTGTATGCAGATACAATCATTCGGATACACACCAGTGTTTCGTGACACGAGTCCATATTACTGACAGAGGTGCTGGAGTGACAACGATATTTGACCCGACAGAGGCAGTAGTCTCCATCCACCGCCAGCCATTGACACCAAATCCCAGAGCCTGGGGCATGGCACCCGGCGCATGGGAGGGGAGTCAACCCCAGCTTTGTTTCCTTCGGCGCTCTGGACTGCTTTGCCACCTGTGGCCAATCGATGCCAATCGGACATGCGAACGAAAAACACGTACAGCGGCCAAAGGGCCAAAGGGGGAGGGACCCAGCGGCAAGCATTCCAGCAGTATTTATTGACAAGCTCCCATGAGCTCCCAAGTCATTCAACTCCAGGATGTTCAAAGCATTCCGATATCTCAATACTGCCAGAGGTGACCAAACTCCTGTGTTTTCGGCTTTGGATGGTACCAGTATAGCAGGCGCTGTGGTCCCTCCACTCAGACAAAGACCCATACTGCATCATACTGCTTCAACCATGGGCACCCAGTTTCACCATGAAAAACAAGCTATAGAAAAGACACACAACATAAAGCGAGGCTTTTGGCGAAGGTGAGCGATGATGAACGCTGTTGTTTTGCATGGTGTTTTTGGGGCCCCTGGAACGCGATCTTCTCCCCCGGTCGGCCGTGTCGGCTGCCCGAAAGGTGAGGAAAGCATGTTTTTTGTTGGCGGCAAAGACTGCCAAAGGCTCCCGCAGCAAAAAGGCGTGAGAAGAGAACATGGTGTTCTTATTCCCAATTTTCCAGTCCAAGGGTCTTCGACATTCCGATTCTGTGAGTGCATTTTGTTGCCGCCTGGACTGTACGTATCCACCCAGGAAAATGGCCTTCCCCAAACTGAGGCAGTCAGCATAGGTTTGTGGAAGGCTGGTCTAAGGCTGGAGTCAGGTCGCAATTGGCCGATTGTTCAGTGGCTTTGAGAGGCTTTGAGTGGCTCGAAAGGGTCTCTAATCAATCGAACTCCCTATGGTAATCTACATGTAAATCAACGTGGATGTTCGATTCCAACAAGGGACATGTTCAGCCCGGTCGAATGGCGAGGATGAAGGCATAGGACCACCGTCGGAACATCAACCTGAGTCACCGACTGAAACTGAGTACAGCTCTTCAGAGTTGCTTCTTTGCTCATGCTGTGAGTTGCGCATTTGTCCTGGAACACAGTACTATACATGATAGGGGGAACTCTTGTCATGGCTGCGAAAGCATTTCCTCACGTGTTTCATCATGCGCCTTCAGGCTTGCGCAGCAGGAAACATGACAATGTGACCATCATTCCACCATACTCCACAGCATCTTAAGTCCTGAGTCCTATACATCCCAAATCTCATTTATAGAGAATCGACGCTGCCACTCCCTCCGCTGCACAGCACGCGTAACGGTCGGTCGTGAACGCGCGAACCCTTCAGGTCGGTCCTGAGTGGCACTGAGTGGCAGGCCACGGTAGCTCCCAAAGCAACAAAGACTAGGTGTCCCTTTCGAAAGCAGGTAATCCCAGAATCCTAAACCCTTTGTTTTCCAAATTTGGAGTCGGCCATCAGAACTTGAAGTCCGGAGTTCCTTCCACTTTGGGGTTCCTTAAGATTCTGAATGATTCTGATCTATTTGGTGGAAACTCCGCAACCAAACATTGACATTGTGACATGTTCTTGTTTGCCACTCAGCTCAATATTTACAGCGAACATCTGGTGAATGCCCATGAACAAAATAACATGCTTCAAGATGTTCAACCATCCACCATGCATGATATTTTGATATCAGAATGATCAACATTTCACTGGTTGAAATTATAGACAGATATAGACATGTCATGACATGTCTTATTTTGCTTCGTTCCTGCCAAAAAGGATGGAACAAAGGCACTTCATCCAAACTCCATGGAACGAGTCGTATTTTTTCCGTCTCACCGATGCTGGACATAGCAAAAGTTGTGGATTCGATGCTCAGGACTCTTCCGCCGGAACCTGAGACCCACATGGAACCCACGCCCGGTTGGGATTCACATGGATTCGCTTTCCAGTTCCGCGTGAACTTCGCGAACAGGTTTGGATCGTTCGGGTGGGACCTAAATGGTTCCATCCAACGACGCCTGAGCATTGGAGGATACATAACTCGTCTGTGCGCTTTGGAACAGATGCAAGGTTCACGATCGTCGTTCACCCACACTTGTTTAAAGTGTAATGCAATGAACTTGAATATGGTGATCCTCAAGCAAAGCTGCAACACAGAATATATGTAGAGTCTCAAAGTACTCGTGCCTCTTTTAGTCGGGTTATGTCTATGAGTCTATATGTTCTAGGGTGCTTGAAGTTGGGTCCGGGCATGGTGTTACTTGTACACTGTCTTGAACCTGTGAAAACTCCGGTTCTTGGCCCACGCAGCCACTATAAGGAATCAGGCTGAATCAGTCGGTCTACGGTTGAAGTCTTTGACCCACCAACCTACCGACCGGTCTCAGGTTCGCGCTTGGCACGTTGGCCCAAGACTCGTTTTGGTTCACCCTCGTTCACATCTCACTTCTTGAGTCGTTTTCCGGCTGGCCCAGAGCTCCTCAGGTTCGGTGGGCACTTCACGACCCCCCCGTGGCACCCACCCCAGTCCCACCAAACCGAAACGGAGGTAGGCCAGGAGCGCAAAGAAGTTTGTTGGGTCCGTCCCGTCGGTGGACAGTCCATCGACGGAAGTTGCCGCCGCGACGTCCCCACGCGACGGGGAAGGAACGCCGATGTGCAGGCCACGGCGACCTGGGACCCGAACTTCTGCGCCAAGCTCCTGACGGAGGCAGCGAGACTATGCTTCGTGGGGTTGGTCGGAAGAAACCCTGCGGCAGGATCCAGAATCAATCCTGCGGCAGACAAGACTATGCTACCCTCCCTAGGGATCCACATACCCTCTAAGAAGGTCATAGGAGACACTGTGATGTAAGTGCCAGGAGGGTCCAGTTGTACCTTCTGAGGTTCGGCACGACTGGATCCCTATAGGGATTGTGTTTCTTTTTGTCTCAGACGTAACAGTCATTGACGTTTAGATTAAGTCGGACTGTCGGCCGAATGGTCCACAATCAGAGTACCTACCTGAGTCAGTACCTGTGGATGGGAGACACGTTGGGGCATCCAGGCCTTGTTGGTTGATAAGTTATCCAGGCTGGCCTATATAGTTCAATTATGTTCCATTCACAAAGCTTGCATCTGAGTCCTCATCTAGAACCAAGCTATTGGCTCACCTGCCAACACACTAGGTCACTTGGTTGCCTTTGGAAGTTGTGTTGAAATGAGAACACACTTGTTCCCTTCTGTCGAGGAATCAAGGGATGTTCCCCAACCGAGGGATGCACTACCTCAGGAAACCCGTCTCATGTCCGGTGGACCTCCCGGCAAGTCTAACTGCCGAGGTGTCGGGCACTGGGAGAGTTTTCGGGTACCTTTTTGGGGGGGCCCATGTACCCGACTACCTGCTTCACTCGCTGGTGCTGGGGAGAGCTAAGGAGCCAGGAGTATTCCAGGAGCCAGGAGCTAAGGAGCTAAGGCCAGCCAACAGGGAGCCAAGGAGCTACAGGGAGGGAATCCCCAACCCCGACAGCTAGTTCCGATCTCGGTAGCTAGCGACGCTAGTTGCGACCACACCGACATGGGAAGAGTCCTGAGCATGTCATCTTTTCTAAAAAACGAGTCCTGAGCCAGCAAGCTTGCCTTGGCATCTTTTGGACGCTAAAAAAGCTCCACCCTTTCTGCTGGAAATGGGCCTGTGCAGAGTTGGGGGCCTGCGCGGCCTGCGCAGGTTTGACGCTTTCACACTCTTCAGGGTGGTATTGCCGGTGACTACTAATAGCAGACTAACATGCACCCTCAAATCCTCAAAGCTGGTTTATAGTGGAAAGGACATAGTCCTCTAGGTAGAATTTTGAGTATGTTCCAAGGCAAAGGCTCTTCAACCATTGGAGGTAAAGGATGAACTGGTCACCTTCCACCGGGAGATTTGTGAGACAACCTGCTGGTGTAGTCAGTACTGGGTAAAAAAGATCTAGAACATTCATCCCACAACTCCTTGTATCAGTCCACAAAAGCTTGTGTAACATTAATGGTATATTGATATATCATATATGATGTATGCATATATATATATATATATTACTATATTTACATTCTTTGTACATCCCACAACTACTTGTATACACGATATATAAAAAGCTCTCTTTGCCCGACTTGGGCCCTGCACCCATTCCCGGTTCCTCGATGCCAGGTCATGCGCCATGTCTTGGTGCTGACGCCACAGGAACAGACGCCACGTGGTTTGGCATTTGGTTTTGTGTTTTGTTTTGTTGCTCTGAATCCGAAGTCATTAAAACAAAAAGAACAAACATACAAAACATGCACGCTCTTTTGAGCATTCCTTTGATTCAGAGAACAAACAATGCCAAGTCCAAATGGTTTTCCAGAGCTTGGCCTGTTGCATTTTCTGGGCCTTCCATTCACAGAAACATTCGCCCATCCAGAGGATGGAAACCCATAGAAATCTTCATCAAAGGACTCATTCTTCCCAGGAACACTTTGTATATGCCTCCCACGCACCGCTTGGGAAAGGAAAGGGTTCCTATCCCTTGCGTTTTCTGTGACTACACTCGGCTACACCACCACCTCCAACAACCGTTGCCCTCCGGTGCCCCGCCTCTTCGACGGACAGGACGCCTTGCGGTGCCTCCGGGCGGCGCGGCGTGTACGACCCCAGCTCAGGCGTGGTACGCCGGCGGCTAGCCGAAACGGTAGCGCGCTATGTACGAGTACTGACCGGGGGGGGGAATGGTCTGAGACGGGCCGGTCTGAAGGCTGAAGCAACAACTCGGCGTTTGGAAGAATTCGATCCGGTGATGCTTGAAGGATTGGTGAATATCTAAGAAAAGACGGGGTTTACGAATGCTCACGGACCTGTTCTTGTAGTGGAGCTTTCTCCGCTCACAAAGTAGCCATGTTTTGAAAGGATATCTTGTACAAAGTGGCTGAAGGCAACATGTTCTCCAGAGGGTGGGTTGCCTTGAAAAGAAAGAATTTGACTTGGACTTCCCACTGGATTAGGCAACCCATGTTTCTCCACCTTCAGAACTGGGATGCCCTTTCAAGATACCCTTCCCATACCACTTCCACAAGACATTTCAGAGTAGTATGCAAGTAGCACAAAGTAAGGCAACATCCAAACCTCAAAGGGCACGGCTGACAGAAGAACGATTGGTTGGGCAACATTGGATACAGGCATATATAGTCAATATAGACCCCGATTGCACTGCGATGGTATTCACACTCCCTGGAATAATAATCATGGAAGTGGAACATAGTGGAAGCCTGGCCATTGGATGACCCCTTTTCCGCTACAACCAGATACAACCAGGAGGGGTCCACTTGCAGTTGCATGATGATTTCAGGGAGTGTATATCCATTCCTAGGAAGCCCATCCGTGTGTTTTATCATGTTTTATCTCTTCCATTCACTCAAAAGCTAGGGTAGGGTGGTGCAGACTGTTGCACTATCACCGCTACTAATGAGAATGCCACGTTTCGAATGAGAAGATCAACTGCTTGGGGAAGTATCCTTTTGAGGGACCCCAAACGGAGCGTTCAGTGGGTTGAGAGCAAGATTGGACTCCCTGTCTTTCATTCCCAATGGTAACCTCCCTGAATCATGGACGTGGAATACAGCCTAGTTGAATCGAGGACTTCAGTCTTCCTTCTGGGGCCATGTTTCACTTCCATGTTTGTTGGATGGAGGTTCTGCACCCTAGGGCTCCAACGGTGGTTAGACCCCCCTGGCATCCACCCCAACCATCTTCTCATGTACCCCCAGACCCTCCTAACTGATTGGGAATCTGCTCACCTCAGCCGCTGATCCGCGATTCCAGGCCGGGCGCAGCAATGGAAGTGATCGAGGCAGAGGCCGACGAAACCCGCGGGGCAAATGGATGGCCAGTGCCGGGGGAAACGGACCCGTCCCGGGCTCCAACATGCGCCAACTACATGCCGGTTGGGGTGGGTTTGGGGGTCTAACCACCTTCTGACCTGGAACATCCTGGAACTAACATGGAAGTGGAAAACCACCTGTTTGTAGTGGAAAATGGTCTTCCATGTTAGTTCCAGGGACTGTATGGAAACTTTACTTGCATTGAACCCTGAAAAACCACCCCAACGCAGTTCAACAGGCCAGTCCCATGGATGGATCTGCGCAACTGGGATGCGGAGACCAAGCTCCAACAAAACCCACTTGGAAGACCCTTGCCCGATGCACTTGGAAGACCCCTGCGACCCCGCATGTGAAGGGACTGACAGGCCGAGAACGAAACACCACGCAGGTCGTGCAGCACGACCTTGGGCCCTTTTGGAACGTACGTAGGTGCGTGGTACCATAGCACGACAACTTCTAGGGCGGTAGGATCCCTCAAAGATTTAGGAAAAGTTTAAAAGGCAGTTTCCATGAACAAGAATTTAGATCAACCACCATGTAACGTACTTCAAGTCTAAAACCGTCGGAACACATAGACGATGCAAGCATTAGGGTCACATGCGCTTCGCTGAACGCAAGAATAAGATGCTGGCTCAAGACCACTCTGAGTGAGATATCCTGGAATATGCCTGACATATCCTGACATCACCACGCAATCGGTGTTTTTTGGAAACCCCACACACTCAACCTATGCAAATCTGTACCCATCTTGAGCCCTTTTCAACCCCTCCGATGGCCGAGCCAGTCCTCGTTTTGCGGTGCAGGTGCTCCGTGGCCTGCACGCCTTCAGCGGATCGGAGCTGTGCGATGCTCTGCAGAGCTTCGTGCGGCTCAAAGCGCAGGAGGGGGCGAAACGAGCGGAGCTTCCACACGTGGTCAGTCACGTTTGATTGAGGCGACTGGCAGGCGACATCACAATCGATGTGATGTGGTTGTGTTTGATTTTGGGGTGCTGATTCACGTCGAGATGACCCTTTGCAAGGATTTTGTAGGCGTCTTTGGCTCTTTTGTCAAGTGCTTGATCAGCTATATAATCAGAAACCGATGTGAACGATGGGGATGTTTTTTGGGGGGACATTCCTTCAATCCTAACTAACACCTATAGTCAGCATAAAATCTCTTGCTAGCGGCTACCCTACTCAGAAAACAGGTGGAAAGATAGGTTCACCTTTTTTATTGTTCCGCGAAATGGTATCAGGACTTAGCTATCACGAAGCACTTTGTTTTGGTTCATGTGTTTTTTTTCCAACTTTCGCTCACCAGAGGTTAGTGGCCCGTCGAGCGGGGTCGAGCTGTCCAGAACATGGTGACCAGACATGCGATGTTTTTCTTGTGTATCATTTCTCCATGCCAGGAGTTCACTGCCAATCCGGCCGTGGCTGATACAAGACTAAACCATCCTGGCTGAGACAATCAAAAACGACTTGCGGACTTGCCGTCAGATGGTGACACAGATGAACCATGATTTTCACCCAACCCGCCAAGCACCAGAAGGCGTGTTCACTCATGGCCGCAGATCGCTCCGCTCCAGAGCCTGAGGTCCTCGGTTGCCTTCGTTCAAGGCTCAAAGTTAGGCTTGAGCTCAATCAGACTTAAGGAACGCTAACAAGGGTACTGTGGGCATTGCATGGATGAATGGTAGGATCACCATACTTCGAGAATTTGAGCCATTTCGTGCAGAGCCAAGTACTTGAGAAGCAAACAACGTATTCGACTTGCAAAACGTGTTCTTCTTTAAGAACTTGTCAAAAACTGTCAAAAACAAACGCGTGCTTCCTGTAAACAGGAGCTTCCTAGTTGGTAGTCACCTGCCAAGGGCGGCTCAGTCCAGACCGCCGACCGCGGACCGATAGACTCGCGACACGCCAGACGGACCAACAGCGAGAAGACGACACCAAAGCCGAGTTGGTGAAGTGGTGTACTGTCCCAGACACTCCATGTATGCTATATATGCCGATCAATTGGGGTGGGTACTATGGGGTCAATGTAGGCATATATGGCATACATGGAGTGTCTGGGTATAGATGATGTGTTCTCTTTGAAGGGATTCATTCACGTAGAACATCGCCATGCCCTCATGGCTTCAAGGACGAGCGGGCTGTAGATGAGGGCAGGGAATGCAGACGACAGACACTGGCGCCCTGACTCCCTGACTCCTGACTGTAGTTTCCTTAAATCATTGAAAGGAGGGTGACATGATGCTGGAATGGTTGGTGGAGTCTCTCCAGACCTCAAGCACCTATATAATTAAATACTGTATATATGTAATTAGACTACCCAATTGGCGACAGATGGGGACCATGTTGCAGGAGTCATGGCCCAACAAGGTCCAGGAGCTCAAAGAACCTCCACAGATGTTTTAAACAGCGGATCAAGGACCCGAGAAGAGCTGGTGAAGGTCTCGTTCAGCTTCCCACCCTGCGGTCGAAACCCTGCATGTTGGTGAGTGGGGACATGTTTCAAGCAAAACAGATAGTTTGGAAGCAGCCACATGACTATAGGCTAGTCACTATATGTCACAGACGTTCAGGTTCCTCCGCAAGTATGTTGCTGTATCCGGATGTTTTGATGATCCATGCGTGATTTTCTCTGCATGCAATGCAGCTTCTTGTTTCCTTGATACATGAAATGCCATGTTTCTTCATTTCTGCGGACCCGTTCCGACACATCGGTCCATCGGTCCCTCCAGGGCCCAGGGCGGATCCCAAACGAGCTCGGGTCGGCAACGACCACCCGTCGGCAACGACCCGTTTCCGTTTCGACCCAGCTCGGTCCTGTCCCCAGGCAACGAACGGTCGTGCTCTGGAGTTTTCGGTCGTGCGACGACAGAAGAAGTCCACCAAAAACGAAGTTAGGAGGTTTTGGACCCTGTGGGGGTCTGTGGGGATAGTGACTAGTGCTTTTCCCATCGTGTTGTTCCACCCTCTAGGACTCTTAAGGTCTGGGATGTCCAATGACTCCGGTCGTGAAACACGGAGGACGTGCAGATGGGTCGTCTCAGAGGGCTGCACGAGACCTCAGAAGTGGCAGGTGGGAGAGGGAAGGTCTTGGCCTGGACCACCGCCCAGGGTGTGGACACCAAATCAGTTCCAGGGGGAAAGAATCAAACAGCATTGGCATGGCACCAAACTCGGAGAAGAAGCTGCAGGCAGGGTAATCAAGCTTGACGAACCAGTTGTTTTCAAAGCAATCCCAATCTGCCTGGAGGCTCCACCGCTTATTTCAGGTGTGTAGTCCGACTGAACACTTGCAACCAACAATAAGTTGCGATTCACCTAAGAAGTGTGAGATTCTAACTAATATAAGGTATTTCGTCTACGTCAACGTGTACCAAGGCACCCATGCAGAGGGCATCTTGGTGAGGACGCGCTGTCTGGTCCGCGACGTGTGTGCGAAAACGGGAGGACAAACAAGCCTTGGTTATGTACGGTGAGCCGAGTGCCCTAGACTTACTGTAACTACAATGAGCTACCCAGATCCCGTCTTGCCATGATCTGGCTTCATGATTTTCCTGGTCTGGCTTAGGTTGGGGGAAGGTGGAGCGGAAACGGTCACATGGTCTTCTCTCCAGTCCTATGGTCCTGACGAAGCAATCTATCTATTGTAGTCATTCCATGGGACTGCCATATATATATATATATATATGCCGCCCCATTGACCCCCAAAACCACCCCAATTGATCGGCATGTATGGCAGCCCCATGGAGTGTCTGGGTATTGTAGTCACTTCCGTCCCCTCAAACGTATCTCCACTACTAGTAGATTTGTGCTTTAAAGATTGCTGATATTTTCAGAGGACAGGACCTGGACCTGGACTTGGACAGTTGGAAAGTATTGAGGCTAAATGGAGTCTCTTTGGTGCAAACAAAAGGCTGGTTTGGAGTTACTTGGCACAGCGAATATGTTCTTGGAGTAGTAGCTTGCTTGCCGGCTGGCTGGCTTTTGGCCTTCTTGAGGCTTGCCAGTTGAGCCTTCTTGAGGGGAAAATGAAGCGATTGTGGAGCCAGATATGACCTACTCTAAGAAACCAAGGACTCTCAAAGGGTCCAATATAGGGTCAAAACCAACCAGGAGTCGGGTCCAATGATGGTTAGGACAAAGTGATATGCTTTGACCGAGCCGATAGTGCTTAAGAATCGATCTCAGTCTGAGTCTAATGAGTCTAAGTGGCACAAAAACCAATGTTTGCATTCCCATGCATGCCCAAACAGTCACACTCTCCCTCCAACCACCCGGTATAGTTGGAATATGTATATATATATATATATATCAGCACCATCCGAAGGGTGCCCAATGAGTTTTGGGTTTACATGATTGATAAGGGGTGCCCAATGGACACCCCTTTGAACACACCATACCTGAATCCCAAAATCTCTCCAGGTTCCCATCGAAAACGTTGTCCATCGAACGTCCATCCCACTGCGGGCTGCGCTGCCTTTGCGCCTGTTTCTTGGAGCGGGCCACGATCAGGCTCCAGCGGTAAGGTTGGGGGGCTGCTGGCAGAGGGCAGGTGTACATGAGTTGTGTCATCCTCATACCATCCGTCTTTTGGGATGTAAAGAAGATTGTGAATTTCTGTGGAAGGCTGTCTTTTCTACTCTACTCTACTCTACTCTACTCTGCCAGCTGCCTCAACCAACGGCAACACACGAAAGCCGCATAGCGGCTGAGACACTGATATCCCAACCGTTTGGGATGGCTGGACGCCGCCACTCTTTTCAGTTTCCCCATGCCATCCTCATCTTGATAACAACTCAGTGGTAACTGGCTTTGAAGCGGGGTGACATCCAACACCAGGTGGCCTAGACGGTGCAACTTCGGCCTCAACTTCCAAAGTAGCTTCTCATGAGCGATCGCTTCGTTGGCCAACCCTTACGCCATCAATAGACAACAGCAACATCACACAGGACATGATTCTGAGCAGATTCCGAAACACTCTTAAATGACAAAGGCACAGTTGTAAGCACAGTGGAAGAGATAGTTGGCTTTCTGCAAATTCTCAAGGTCCTGTGGTGTCAGGATCACCGGGGGGCTGCGCTTCACACTCATAGAGTCCCGCATTACACACAGGTTGTGGAATACAGCTGCCACCATCCTTGTGACCAACAATGGCAACAACACGTCAAAACAACATTCTCGAAAGACTAGGCCCCAAATTCAATGCAAGGCACACGCAGTGCTCATCCTCTGGGTGCCTCTCCGCAATCTGCAGCGGAATAGGACCACAGACTCCTGAGCGCACATTCCGTGATAAATCCCATGATCTCTTCGACGTGGACCTCAAACCCTTGAGCCTCTAAAATGACATGGGAACATGTCGAAAACCAATTTCTTCTAAGCAAAGTCGAAGAAGCTGCACCATTGACATGTTTCTGAGCAATGCTCGGGTAGTGTTTGCTGCCGACAGCATGTAGATGTCTCCTTAATCTTTGGAGGCTAATTCAGCCAGCTCAGCCCACGAATCCAAAAAACACTAGCGGAAACTACCGCCAAGGATCATACTGAACAGCTCTCCTCTCGAACCTTGGGGTGAACCAGGGTGTTGAATCTACCTGCCCAAACTTGTAGGCATTGACAGTGTTTCCTGATTTTGCCAAGTCACATATTTTCATGGCCTTGCGTTCTCGAGGAAACAAGATGAAGGCTTTTCAAAGTTTGTCATCTGGACTGCCCGCGCCAAGCGTGTTTCCTTCAAGAAGTTCCACGAGGCAGCACGCACTGGCTTCTGGCACCAGTGCCAAGTCAAAAATGTGGAGAATATCGGATTGAATGAACTGGCAACTCCATCCTGGAACCTTGACGAACGTCTGAACCCCTGCTAGTTGGCTGATGAAATCCGACGT